TATATATATATATATATATATATATATATATATATATATATATGTATATTTGAATATTTGAATAATAAATAATAATAATAAAGCTATTGCTCTCTATCTCTCTATCTCTCTATCTCTCTCTCTCTCCCTCTCTCTCTCTCTCTCTCTCTCACTCTATATATATATATGTATATTTGAATATTTGAATAATCGTATGAATAAATAAGCCGTGCTATTCTTAGCCTTAGCCGTCCTTTTGCAATCGTACCATCGCCAAGACATTACACGTAGTTGTACATCATAAGATCCTGTGTCTTTGAAATTATTACGGTAAGACTGGAGCGACCAATTTCAACTCGCCATTTGAATTAATTTGATCGTTTCAATCGGCATAAGCATCAGAATATTGGACTTTTTTAACTTTTGTAAATCAAAATAATTATAAAATCTTATGACCTATGCACTCAATTCGTTTTAAATAAGATAAACGGGAGGTGCGTTAAATAAGTTGAAAACAATGTTTGACAAATAAAACAAGAGTCTGAAGCGTCAGTTTTAATTGAAAAACAAATTTACGTTGTTAAAGATTTCTGCTTTTATTATTAAAGTGAAGATTCGTCGTAAGCAGAATTTAATATCTTAAATAATACCTATTATTAGTAATTTATTATTAACGACTTACAAGCAATAAATTATTGAATTATGTGCCTCCCACAACTCGATAAATGCCTTGACGTGCCTATTTAATATCTAATGAGAAAAAAAGCTATTGAGTTACGTGTTTGCGTTAATTTACGAATTAAAAAATTGCAAACAGAAAGGTTGTTAGCATAGCCATTATTGTAATTTTAAAATACATTTGCTCGAGTGAAAATTCCTGGCAAACGTAAAGAAAGAAAAGCAATCTTAAATAAATTTATGAGAAAACGTGTAAGTGTATTTATACTTATTTCATATAGATCATAATGATAAGATTCCATTGGAGATCGATATGCATATTTTATATATATATATATATATATATATATATATATATATATATATATATATATGTAGACGATATAAATGGAAGATTCCGTTAGGAAGAATTGATCTTATACGGATTTAGAATGGCAATGAGGCTCGTTTAATAGTAAATTTATCAAAACCTTGATTAATCGTTCTTTGTACTTTTATTTTTAACTTACATTTTATCGATCAACTATATGTTGCTTCAATGCACAAATATATTTCAAACCTTACCGATAAGCATTCATTTTCTTTCGTTTATGCAAATAAAAATAACAAATTCGTGGAACAATAATCTATCAACATTATTCGATATTATATACGATACATAGTAGCGTATAATTTATTACAATAACTATTTATTACTAAACAATATGATGGTTTATTTCTCAATCCTAGGCTTTGCGTAAAAACCAAAGAAATAAAATCTTCATCAATGAATTATTTATTTAAAATTATAATAATAATAAATAATTAATACAGATACTCGACAGTTATGAATATTATTATTCCTAGTAATAATAACTTTCTCCCTACGTATCGATGAGAATTTCATATCATTTGTTGTGCTCATATGTTGTAAAGAAGCTTTTAAAATTATCGATTGACACAATATCTTTAACAATTAATTTATTATCATAGTTATCGCTAATTCTAATAGCATCTGATCGAGTGCTTAGTGTTATTGGGATTTTTCTTATCTGTTAATAAATTGGGGAAGAAGTTTGCG